TGTTAACAACCATCACAGGAGCTGAAGTTCAGTTTTATAAGTGTCATACATGTACATTTTAGAGATTTTTTTTTTAATAGAAATAGGTATTAGAATTATGATATTTGCCGATAGATATAGATGTACTTATTTCGCAGGAAATAGTCACCGAATGCCGAAATAACGACGGAGTGCTCCATTCACCCCCCCCCCTTAAGGTACCATGTCAAACCTACGACTACTTCTCTATTTTACGCAGTATTAGGGCCTCACAATGGAACTGCTCTGTAATAGTGTACAACAAAACATATCCTTAGTCCCTTACTTGATTTTATGCTAGTCATGCCTGTCACAGCCCATGACGTGAATCCGCTAAGACGAAGGCAGTGTTGTTGTTTATTGTCTGTCTTGAACGTGTTGAAGAAAGACACGTCATGGTCATTTCAATATTCCTGATCTTGCGTCAATTCCGACCGCAATAAACTTGTGAAAACAAACAAACGTCATTTATAAACGGTTAGGTTATTTTTGTGATGTGAATTCTGTGTCATGCCATTTTTGTTGTTGACATCTTACTATCAATATAATATAATAACTAGAATCGTGACTCTAATCCTCCCGGCTTGCTTGAATTCCGACCGCACTGAACCTGTGAAAATAGAACTCACGTCATTATTTTATAAACGGATGGGCCATTTTTGTTTGGTGTTGTTAATTATGTGTTATGTTATTTTGATTTTGCTTTGACATCTTGCTATCAATATAATACAATAACTAGAATCATGACTCCAATCCACCCGGCATGCTTGAATTCCGACTGCACTGAACCTGTGAAAACAGAACTCACGTCATTATTTATAAACGGATGGGCTATTTTTGTTTGGCATTGTTCTGTATTATGTTATTTTGATTTTGTTTTTAAATCTTACAATCAATATAATATAAAGCAGTATCATGACTTTAATCTACCTAATTAGCTTGCATTATGACCGCAGTGGACTTGTAAAAACTAAACACATGTCATATAAGAATGGTGCTCCCGATTGCTGTGTACTAGTATGGTTAGGTGTCATATTTTACTTTTGTTTTGACTGTAAATATCTATCATAATAATCAACATACGATATTAGATAGGATCATACAACTTTAATCCACCCGGTATGCTTGAACGGTCCGGCAGCTGTGACGTGAAAAGCGCATGTCATTCACAAACGTGTTATAAATATTAGAGTGTCATTTCCTTTTGTTTTGACTGTAAAATACATCTAACTATCAATATAGTAAACTACAAATGCCAATATCATGATCGAATAACGAGTAGAGCAAAGCCAACACCCACGACAAAAACACCCCAAAAGCAACAACAACAACAACAGGCGACACAAAAGCTGGAGGGAGGGTCGGAGGAGGGAGGGCTTGGGAGGAAATAGGAAGGGAAGGATGTCGTCATGGTGCCCTTGCACAGTCATTTTTATATCCGAACTTTTTCTCATTTTCTCCGCCAAAAGGTCTAAACCTGGGACGATGACTGTTGTATTATAATTAGACACCGAAAGTTATTCATGCAACATTGTGCCAGCTTAAGTTCCATCTTGTTGTCTATTATCTTATTTCCTTTTTTTTTTTTGTGGGGGGGGGGGGGGATATGAGTCTAGTTCCAGCTAGCACGAATGCGCAGAAACATAGCAATATATAAATCAAATGCAACATGAAATTTTAACCAGAAGAATAACGCATTTTATTATAATCTGTGTTTGATTTCTGGATTGAGCTTAATTTCTACTTCTTAAGCAAGAATCGACGATCCCTAGGTCTATCCAGTGTTTTTCTTTTTGTTCGATGTTGTTGTTTGTTTGTTTAATTGTTTGTCTGCTTTTTTTTTTTTTTTTTTTTTTTTTTTGGGGGGGGGGGGGCACTTCAGAGCCCCCTCTCCCTGGCCTCTCTCCCATCACCCCTCACCCCTCATCCTCCCTCTTGACAAATAAAGAGCCTTGGGGGCAAGTGGAGCTTTTGAGAACCATTTCGGGGAAAACAGATATATTGTCTAGAAACTTTCTGACACTTTGAAGCAAACCAGCACATGTCTCTCCTTATCTGATCTTGACTTTCGATTTGCAAAGAGTTTTATTTTAATCGCCGTAGGGATCAGCAGATCAGCAATTATTTATAATTATTGGTTGATTCAGATACTCTTTCCTGAACCGACAGCGGTTTTGTGGTGATTGTTATCAACATTTGTTCAAATATTCGCATGAAGTTGACACCGTTATGGTCTATCAACCTATAGATGTTTTTTCTGTAAAAGTGAGTCATTGTTTACCCATACAGATTCATCGGTGGGTGGCTCAATACAAACTGCCTTCAAAATAACACTCCTTATAATATTTGGATTGGCCATGGTTATTCAATCCAAATTTCCCATCATATTCTTTTTGAAGGTGAAATGACGGAAACTATATCACGGTTCACTGACTTCAAATAGTTAGTGGAATGCGGTACATACAAACAGTCTGAGGATTATTATTATTACTTCTAAACGATTTGCATTTCATTGATTGGAAGCAAGAAGTAGTGTGTTATCACAGCTAAATGCTGAATTTATCCTCCTGGTGAACTTTAATAACACAGTGTGCTATCGGTGAGTTGATACAGTCTTATTTATACGTTATTTCACTATTTATTTGAACATGTATTTATAAATAATGTTTGATTCTACTTGATACAGCTAGATTTCTTCTAAAACTGTTACATGCTATTTTTCCCGAAGATTAATGTCTTTATGAAATTAGTAATGTCGTAGTTACTGACAGTGTCACTTTTGTCAGTTTGTTCTGGTTAAGTTTTTGAAAGGTGGGTCTCGAGTATAAAACAAAAACAAAGGTTGAAAAGCGTTGTTTTATCAAATACGTGTGCATATTTATGTATAAATTAAAACAGGGGCTATATGATATGCTTTAGGATGGATATGAGCAATTGGTAAAGATGACACAAAACAAAATCAATCGCAAGAAGAAGAGTTACAAACTTTTAGAATGGCATATAGGCCTTTTAGTCCTTTTACGTTAAAGGCCCACTGCACTACTTGTAGCTACTTGCGCCCTCTATATAACAAACAATGCCTAATTGGTGACCATTGGTCCCCCATGATCCTCTTTTTCTTATGTTAACTGAGAGCTGAGTTGATGAGATAACCATCTGTCCAGTGACCTTACAGGGCAGTCTAATCCCTCCTATAAACTACGGCAGATAAGCTTTAAAACAATAATTATTAAGGACTTTTTCATTTTCATTAGTAGTAAAGCCATATTTTTGTAATATTTTTTTTTATTACACATATGTTGTGTTGTTCTTATTTTTGGTGACGGTGCTTGTGGTTGGTTTGTTGTTGTTGTTGTTTTTTCTCTTTTTTCCCTTCTTCTTATTTTAGTTAATGAGCGTTGTGGTGTATATATTCTTGTTTTCAGTTTAGACTGTTACAAAAGGTTATTGCTAATTTAACTTGCAAGGTACGTGCTATCTCCCTTTCAGTTATATTTTCGCCATGTATAGTCATTTAAGATGGTATTTGGTATGCTTGACGTCATGGGTAAATTTTTGGACGTACCCATGCCCGTGCGCGCTTCACGGGGGACTGCATTTGTATAAATGGCAGGTGTGATTTTTTTTTTAGACCAAATTTCCAAATGAGTTCGTCATGTGTAATGTTTATAAAAGTCCATTTGCGTTTTTTTTTCTCCATTCCATACTAACCTAAACCATGGACCTAAACACACTAAGTCCCGCCATCTCCACTATCAAGCAATCTGTTTGATATCCTCGTCCAGTCAGTGGGCCTACAGGCCGAAGTGTCGGGTGAAAAACTTTATATCCTATTGAGCTTGCACATGTGCGTGTTATATGAAAAGAGGGTCAGATCTTTCTAATTGACCAAATCACCAATTGAGTTTCTATACCGATCAAATCGGTAAATTATCTCATTCATGTCTGTAATGAATTCAATGTCTAGTTATAATTATTATTATACCTGGGGATATTCCAAGTTTTGTTGAAGGACTACAATAGAACTTGTAACTGGACCTATTTCCTGCTCATCATTTCAATAATTAGGATACCGTGTGTGGAGTGTTGTTATAGATTGTTCTAAAGCTTCCTTTACAGACACAAGTTAAACAGTACATCGATTTATGCTGCGGTTGATTTGTCTCCGATTACTATTGTGTTGTGTTCGTAAGGGTTTGTTTTTAACCTGTTTCGAATTGATATAATTTATCTCTTGTTTTAATCACTACTCCTGTCTACTGTTACATACATATGCATATGCGTTTATTTGTACCGAAGTCTAGTTTCGTATTTTTCTTTGTCTATGTCTCTATCACTCCCTTTCTCTCTCTCCCTCTCTCTCTCTCTCTCTCTCTCTGCCGCTCCCTATGTTATCAGTCATCAATGGCTTTCTGTTAGCAAATTCCCATCCAAATCGATCTGTATCCCTATTTATAATCTCTTTACCACTCTTTTTTGTCCAGCTTCTCATCAAAATAATGATTACCATGATAAGGATTTCGGTTGATAACCCCCTCTTCAAACAATAACTCTAGGAGATTTACGCTGTTAAAATCATAATCAATTCATTACATTAGATTTGCATGTAATATTTATATATGTTTTTGTATGTGTTTTTTTAATTTTTTTTACCTATTGTATTTTGATATTGTAATTTTAAGCAGGGGATGATCCCCGATAAAACTCTGTGGTTCTTGATCACCCCCTCTGCATGTTCATCTTTTGTTGTAATGCTTTTATATGTGATTGTAATTTATATTGCCTTTTATGAATCTGTGGAAAAAAATGAAATTGAAATTGAAATTATGATACTTTGATATCTGTGAAAACAACGTATCTACACCATTGTGTTAGCAAAAGGTTGCAAGCATCATGCTGTTAGGACAATACTCATTAATAACCTGTTTTGGAGTCTAATGCAATACTGTTTCATTTTCTCCTTTTATAATATCTGTTTGCAGACATCACGATGATGGTTCAGCGAAGCGCTATTGTGAGTCTAGGCTTTGTCATCGAACTGGGGATCTTTTATGTTTGCTGTATTTCTGGAATGGTGTGGGCGAATGCCTCAGGTAATTATCAAACATGTGTTTATTTCACAATATTTTGTTTGACTCATCTCTTCCCCGAATACTGTCCATGAACTGATACATATTTTGGGCATTCATCGCTATTTAACTTTTCTGGCAGTAAATAACTGATCGAAACTAACTCATGCTCTATTATCTTTGTTTTGTGTTGTTTGTTTATTTTTCAGTATTATTGAACGTGAAGGTAGTCCAATCAATTCATGAACACTTTTTTAGTGATCACAAAATGTTATTACCTGAACAAATCATGAAGCTTCAAAGTTTCAGAAATATTAGTATAGCATTATAAATGTATTAACGCAGGTCTATTGGTTATACCAATTTAGTAACGCCGTACAGTACAGGCATGTAGGTGGGCATTATGGTAAAAGTATTTTTGTATGAGAGGAAAATAGTTACTTTTTATGTGAAACTCAGCACCTTACCAATATGATTTTTAGGCAACTAACATTTTGCTTCTTATATGCTTATAATGTTTGAGTTAATTTCCATCACCCTTCATCTGTGTATGATAGAGATCGAGAATGATTGAAATTTCAATGTCTTTTTTAATTTTTAACAATATTTTCAATTTAATTTTTAATTTAGATTTTTGGAAAATAAAATTGAAATTAAAAATTGAATACAGTAAAACCTGTCTTAGCGGCCACCTATCTATGAAGACCTCCTGTCTATAGGGGTCACCTATAGTGCCTCTCTCTCTAGCAAGATATACGTGTTGTAGAACTTGTCTAGGAAGACCAACTGTCTACAGTGGTCAGTTTTCCTGTTTATCTTGGCTGGCCTTTAAAGATGGATTTCACCGTACTTTGTTTTAAATTATTGATGACTCTTAAATAGGAGCCTTTCCTTTGGTGGAAGGAAATTTAAATCTACTTGAACATTATCATTATAACAAACTAGGGGTTGGTTGAAATCCATAATGATAGTGTTTGAGAATATTATCTGGTGGCATATGTTGTAACTGGCCAATTTAGTAACCAATATTCTAATTTAAAAAAGGGGACGTTCGTTTGGTTGGAGGAAGCAAACCGAACGAAGGACGGATTGAAATCCACAACGATGGTGTTTGGGGGACCTACTGTGGCGACTCTTTCGATGTTCAGATTGGCATGGTGATATGCAGACAAGCCGGGTATCCGGGAGCTGCCATGAGGTTTCAGACCAGTGATGAATTTGGACCCGGTACGGGACCGGTTTATTACAACGGTTACATGTCCTGCGTTGGAGGTTCGTTTATATTTTGTATTATTTTGTCTTGTGTTCATATACTACTAAAACGACAGTGATGATCTCAATGATCGTTGACAGTTTTGTTGAATCAGTTTAGAATTAGACTTTAAAATACGTATAGGCCTATTAAAAAATGGTACCTCGTACCTCATGTTACTTATCGCTGAAGATGTAAAATGTTCGAAAATATTTTCTTTGCGCATATGCAAGAAGAAGCCACACCCTTTATGAAAACCTTCGTATTGCATAATGTCTGTAAACTTTAGAAAAAAGGTGATACGGTGGGGAAGGGGGAAGGGTGGGTGTCGGGACATTTGATAAACATAAAGTTTTAGAAGATTTATGAAATATTGATTGTAAATTTCTTCAATCAACTGTCCGGATACACTGACAAACGATGCCTGGGTATACAATTTGGGAACGGAAATACCATGACACATATTTTTTTAAACTTTTGTTTACAGAAGAAAGTAGTCTTGCACAATGTCACTTCACGAACTACAAGTACACTACATGTACTCATGCTAAAGACGCTGGGGTGATATGTAAAGGTAGGTATAGCTCCGCTATTTCGTTTGATAGCCATACACCAATAAAGTTACCGCTATACTACCGAAGTGTTCGGTCACAGGTTCTCCAGAGTTGCGACGTATCGTCCCCGAATACCAAGTTAATATTCGAGAAGGCGAAGCAATCGAGCAACACCTTATAACAATTTTCTTTGCTTTATAAATCTTCAAACTTCATTAATCTGTTTTCTTGACATACAATTATTCGAATTTCTTGTGACAAGAGTCGAGTGTGTTCGGACACTCCTCTCTTCACCAACTCATTTGTTTACGAATAGAGAAATTAATCTGTATTATATTACCTAGTCCAGCCATTTGCGGGCTTCACGCTTTTCGATCGCAGCACCACACGCGACATCATTATACCAGTCCTGTGGCAGAGGTGTCGCCGAATCGCTCCGATGTCTTACAATTAAAACACAGAAACCAACCGTAATGTTTTTTTTCGTAATATTAAATTCAAAGAATCATCAAATTTAAGTCCTAAATGACCCAAACTTCCTTTTCTTTCATGGAATCAGAGCCTGGCTACCTCGGCTGCTATCCCGCTGATGGATCCAAGTTCCAGCCCATCCTCTCCCTCACATCATCCGCGGGCAGTGACAGTGTGGACGATTGCCTGACTCTCTGCCGGTCCGATAACATGTCATACGCTGCTATGTCGGGTAGGAACTGTCACTGCAGCAGCCAGCTACCAAGCAACATCAGCTCTAGTAAAGTGACAGACGATGAATGCAGCACCGCATGCTCGGGGAATTCCCGCCAAATTTGCGGAGGTCCCAAACACTACTCGGGTAAGTTTGCTTTTAGGCGAGGGCTCGTTTTTCTGTTCGAACTTTCTTCCTCTAGTAAGGAGCTGGCTACAGAAAAATCTTCTTCCAACCCTGTTGATTTTTTTGCTTCAAACAAATAAATGAGCTTAATATTTGAAATTATGAGAACATAGTTGAGGGTACACACTACAAAGGACAACGTGTGTTATTCATCATTTCCTAATATCAAAATCTACAGGTGAGATCATGAATTCAATTCCTAACAATAAAGAATGATTTTCATAATCACCGCATTAACAAGAATTATCAACTTTAAACCTCTTGATGCCATGAGCTACAATAGGGAGGTAAACTTCTGAAGGGAATTAAAACAGATGGTTAGCCCAAAATTGAAAAGCCATCGCAAAACTTGATAACTTGCACACAGCACTTGTGGCATAATATTTCAGCAAACAGGCAACCCCAAAAATGGCAAAAAGAAAAGAAAAAAAATGGATGCATTCTAGGAAAATCTGCACAGACAATAGAGAAAGATCAACTTCTGTTTAATACTCGACATTAACCCCCAGGGACTGCGAAACATTCATGTAGCTCTGACAATTCGGTCTTCTGTTTTCCCTTACACCTCATGAAACTGAAAGCTTGGCAACGTCTTTTCAAAGATTTCATTTGGAACCTGGCAAATCTTCAACCTTCATCATTAAATATAAGGGGGCAAGGGAAAGGGTACGGCTATTGTAGACCTCGTTTAAGTGCAGCTGACTTAGTTTTTGAAGGAAATTATGGCACATTCAAGTAGGCATGACAATAGGCTTTTATGCGTTGCAGGTGTTTATGCAGGAGAGGGGAAGATATAAAGAATTGAGGGCAAGGACAGAACGGAGAGGGGAAGAGGCACACAGAGAAAATGAGAAACAGAGGCAGAAAAAGTATTCTGAATCAGGTACTGGGTAAAGCACTGTCTTTACAAACAAATTACCATCATAACTGTTAGAGACAGAGATGGTGGGACTTAGAGAGAGAGAGAGAGAGAGAGAGAGAGAGAGAGGATAAGGATGGAGATGAAGAGGGAAATATAGAATCAGAGATAGATATATAGATATACAGATGGATAGATAAACGAACAGATAGAAAGATAATTATAGATAGCTTTTTTTTAAATACGGCTAAAAGGAGATACAGAGAGAGAGAGAGAGAGAGAGGGAGAGAGAAAGAGAGAGAGAGAGAGGGAGAGAAAGACAGGGCCTTGTTTCTCAGTGGATCCCTCAATTTTCACAGTTTTCCTTTAAAAAAAGCACACATGATTTGCAACAATAAATTGTTTATATTTTCTTTTATAATTTGATTAATGATTTGCAAAAAATACATTATGGTAAAGTATATTGGGTGGTATTCCGGTAGCGCGTACTAAGTTAGCGCGTACTTATTTAGTTCACACTTTTATGGAGTGCCTGTTGCAAACTAATTTACCCTGTACAGATTATTTTAATCCTTCAATGAAAAGTGTCAAAAAAAATAATTTTGCAATGAAATGGGAAGAAAAAGATAATATGAGTATGAACTAAATTTCTACAAAGTCTTTGGTAGATTATCTTTGTCATGAATATTGAAGGAGGAAGATGAAACCTAGCATTCCATAGAAGTGTGAACTAAAATTCTTATTTAGTCTGGACTTAGTCCCGGCTTAACTTATGAGAATACCACCCATTGAATTTCTTATTTAATTTAATTTTTCATGAGTGTTTATATTAATCGTTTCTGTTAAAAATTATCTCAAAACTGAAATTGAAACTGATTTATATTTATATTAACACCATAGTAACCAGTTCCTTATCTGTAATGCGAGATAATTCTATTCAATCGGGACTACCCTACCGTTACTGCGAAGGGTAATAGTTTTCAGGAGTTGAGGTAATCTTCATGATGGGTTGATCAATTAGTCCTTTCCGTTGTTATGTCCCTACCACCGCCTCTATTTTACAAAACCCCGTTCATGGTAGAGATCATTAAAGGCCCTTTTAGTTTTAACACTACGAGGGACATTGAGACAATATTTTGTATTTCAAAAAAGACAAAGACGAAATTAAAGTAGACAAACAAAAAGAGGAAAATATATCATTGTGATGATAGTGACCGGATTTGATAACAACCGTTTGAGCAAAAACCTATGATGACATACAATTTACACGGGGCTAGACAGGTATTTCCCGATATTGGTTTTCATTGCTTAAAACGTCACCATATCATTAGATGGATACTTTGAGAGAGAGAGAGAGAGAGAGAGAGAGAGAGAGAGAGAGAGAGAGAGAGAGAGAGAGAGGGGGGGGGGGAGAAGAAGGATGATGAATCAGATGATGATGATGGCAAAGATTTAAACAAACAAATGTATGCAAATAAAATGATTACAAAATTGATACAAATAACAAGATAAATACAGAACAATTGAATTGAATTTAATTTATTCACCACTTTCATAAAATCATACAAAGGCAAAGAATACAATAGTTGCTTGCAAACATAGATAAACCACTAAAATGGAAAATACACTAAAGGAAATTACGAAGGTATAAAAGGTATATTTATAGTTGCAAGCCTCCCATGTCCCTAGACTCTCTTGTGAGCCAATGTACCTTGTTTCACCCATATTTTAAAGATTTAATATATTCCTGACACTTGTAGCATCTGCTGTAATTGATGACACAGAAAGATGCAAGCTTCCAAAGCCAAACTTAATCCCCCTTTCCCCATGGGGGAAACATCTTTGGCACGCGAGAAACAGAACCTAGAAACGATCGACGCGGTTCGAATGGTGTGTGTATGTGGGGGGGGGGGGGGGGTAGCATATGGCTTCATAAGTGTGATACTCGTGTGCAGGTCCACATGTTAGAGGCAATGCTACTTAAATATTATTTTTTTTTTTTTTAAAAGACAACAAAAAATAAATTGAAAATTGGTGTTGTCATGTCACTTGAAACAACCCACAAGCGTTGATTCGCCATATAACCGTCAAAGTGAAGAACATCCCGTTTTTAGATCTATATATATATTATGGACTTGACGAAAATATAGTGTATGTCAGATACTCCAATATTGTCTTAATGCAACGTACCGAATGCACTTTGAATATTAAGTTCTAGTGCAATACATATTCAATGTAATTTGAGCTTACAGTGACAAGGTTCCTGTCCATTTATGTCCATTTGGTTGGTTTGGTCAATTTCCAACTTTTCTTCTGAATATAGAGTAAATAGGTAACGTGTATTAAATCACCGTTTGCCAAGAAGACGTCGATTTTCATTTAATATCTTCCTGTTCCCTTCACCTCTCTCTTCCTCTCGCTCTCTGTACAGACCTCAGACTCTGTCCTTACACCCTACTCTCTCCCTCTCTTTCTCTCTCTCTCTCTCTCTCTCTCTCTCTCTCTTTACAGACCTCGGGCTCTGTCCTTACCCCCTACTCTCTCCCTCTCTTTCTCTCTCTCTCTCTCTCTCTCTCTCTCTCTCTCTCTCTTTCTCATCTCTTACATTTCCAATGTTCAGTTACTTGTCCTCTTTTTCTTTCTCTCCCTATACCCCCCCCCCCTCTCTCTCTCTCTCTCTGTTTTCCTCATGGTCTCCCTATATCTAGTTGTCTTCTACGTAACCTTTTTTTTTTTTTTTTTTTTTTTTTTTTTACAGCATACGTACATCAATGCAAATCGTTCTTTGTATGCTAAAAACCGAAAACAACAAATGTAAAGAAGTGTTTTCATTATTGTATTACACCATTGAAGAAAAAAAAAGATGTTTTTTTAAAAACCGTCTTAGGATTCATTCTGAGAACACACGTATTGTTATTCATAATTTTGTAGTAACTTATCGTATTGATGATGCGGGAGTTCTGTTCGGCGGCTTATTCGCCATAGATCCGCATGGACGCGTGGGGTTTGGATACATTTTTTTTGTAATTCATTTCCCCCCTTCTTTTCTCTGTTCTAGTTTTCAGCACAACCGATGGATTTTGTGACCAGCTTTCCCCTCCAGTGAACGGCACACTTGATACAACATTCACACGTTTCGGCACCACCGTCACTTTTGGCTGCTTCCCAGGGTTCGAGTTAGAAGGCGCGAAGAAGACGCAGTGTGTCAAAAGTGAGACGCACACCAGCGGATTCAAGTGGAACAGTGTTCCTCCGATATGCACAGGTACAACATTGAGTGTGCACGTGTTTTATTGTTGTATTCGCGGGCGTTGCATACGCTGCGTCAATTCCATAGCGCTCTTGCCTGCGCTAATCGAAACTGTACAAGCGATCGGCTGATGTAAACCAGTAATTTTATGCAACGAATACGCTGTTCATATTATACACCTTGTTTCGGGGTACAATGTCACTCTCTTTATGGCATGTCAGAGACTACATAATTCACTGATGCCGTTTTACGTCATACATCTGACGTCTCGTGTGCAGCTGACTGTAACGGTTAGGCACAGTTCTTCACCGGTACTATCCGCGATTCGGTTTGTCTCGTTTACAGCAATATCAAATCAAATGAAGGGTCACTTTAACACAAGTAGTTATCTAGTTTACACATTTCTAAAAGGCCCGTTCGTCAATGAACTAAAACAAAAACAGAATATTATGTTTTTTGTTAAAGTAGTTCTTAAATTACATCAATGTATCTGGTATTGCGTAAATCTTTAGAATACCAATAGGGATGTTAAGAAACCCTGCTCACTAAATTTTTTTCGAGTCGGTTACAATTCTAATGAAAATGGTCGCACTTTCATCATGATCATGAGTTGTAATATGCTCGTTCCCTCTTTTTGAAAACACCCCTATCTGAGGACTGCCAACATTTCCGAACCCCCTTTCGCGGGCTTTTTGCTGGCTTTTCCTGCATTGGAGACCCCCCTAAATCATGAAAAATGCTCAATGTACCCCCCTAAATTCGGAATAATTTCTCAGAAGTCCAAAGAGATGAGCGAAAAAAGGAAAAAAACACCTCCTTTTTAAAGAAATCTCCGGGTGAAAAGTTAATACACCCCTTTTTTTTTACAATTCTCGGGCCGGACTTTGTCGCACGAAAAGTACCCCTTTACCGGACATTTTGGTAACACGCATGGGGTCATTCCGACCCCGGAGTGGGGGGGGGGGGGGGGGGGGGTGCTCACTATCCTTACTGCTTCACGGATATTACCTAACCTAGTCTAAACAAGATATATGTCATTTACTTTTGCAGCAAAAAAGGGTGTAGATACCCTTAATCGCCTCAGTCCAACTGATGATATTCTTGGTAACGTAATCTCCAGCAAATCCGGTTTGACCGGAACATCCGGTGTATCCGATGTATTTGGTAGGACAGTTGTTTTCTCCACTTCACTGGGCGTATGATACCACTACTTACAACGGCACATTTCACCTATTTAATGAGGCATTTCATCCGATTTACTAACTTCTAATTATTTAGATATTTCAAAAAAGCAATCACGTACGGCAATTTATCGGTTATTTTGGTTTTTTTACCCACAACTTTCTCAAGCGAAATACAATATACGGTTCAGACTGTCTAAAAGTTTCCCCTCGGGCCACGCAATAATCGGCTTGAGGACGGTTGATAGAATAGAAAATAGAAAATTCCTAAAACGAATTACAGTTCAAGTCCGTCATCTTCCTCATAATTATAGATTTCTTATCGGCGGGTCCAAAATTTACCTCATCGTTATGTAGAATTCGCTTCGGTTGTTTAAACGGACTATTTACAGCCCACTCCCCCTTCGCCAAGAAAATTGAGGAAAGGGAAGGGGGACGACGCAATGATTGCTGGAATTACACGCTCCTCGCATAAGATACACAGACACCTTAATATAATTAGCACAGATTAGGGGAACTTCTGCCCCTTTCCCTCTCCCTTCCGCCCCTTCCCTCTCCCTTCCTTTCCCTCCTGTATATCCCTCCCGCGGTCAGATGTGACGTCATTGTGTCCTCAGTGTGAACCCATTCAAAACGGATTCTTATTCTACACCTCAGTTTCTGAAGGATTGGGCCAGAATGGTTATTTTACATACATCATTTTATAATTTTGTGTGAGATTCGAAAAGAAAAAGAAAAAGGAAGCAGAAATTAATATATTTTGAACAAAATAACATGCTGTGGATATATTTCTTTCAAGTGTTTGCCATTCGAAAGGTACTTTAGAAGACTAAACATTAAAGGTAATACAAAGTTTTGGTATGAAGTCATGAATTTGGTTCAAATAAAAATATTGGAAGCATATGCGATCCAACAGTACTTAGTGATCATTGTCGCGGTTGCAATCGAGTCAACAGTTATGAAAATATCAATAATCAACTCTTTATGCTGTATAGCTCCCTCTCGAGATCAAGATATTAATTAACCTATAAAACAATATTTCTTGACTGAAATCAACCGATTAGCTATTCGCGTTTGGAAATTATATGTCACAACTACATATTCTGAGATTTTCATGGTCGCAGCTACTATTGTACGGCCGTAGGCGCTATTTTAATTTTTTTTAATTTCCCGGGAGCACCGGTAAATTTTTATATTCCATTTTTCTCAAAAGCAGAAGTGTTTTAGGGGCTAAAAATTGTTGTGCTTATAATTCATCCACAGGGGCATCTAAATATATAAAAATTGTAAAGAATCACTATCCACCCAATTTTCAAAATTTACCAAAACTTTGTATTACCTTTAATGAATGTTGAAGATAATTATGTCACAGCATTATCATTCATAAATATATGTATTATATCAAGAGCAGGTCGACTTTTCCAATGCTCTTTGTACACACTGCTTTGCATTCAACGATGAGGGCTTTGTATTGACTGTGCAATATTCCCTGTGCAATATTCCCTGTTCTTAGTTACCGAAGTTGTGCCTGACTGCTGACTGGTCATAAGACTAAATACAACGCAGGACTGATACAATGTATATTCATCTCTTCATACAACATATTAATATGTATGTCGTTGATACAAACCACAGTTTTCTCATAATTAACATTAGTAATAGTTTGGTACCATATGGATAACTCATACGGTTGTACTAACAGTATTGGTATTTTTATAATGTGTACAATCAGATCATGAATAATATCATAATGAAGCATACATGTATTAACTGTTTATATTATCCATTTATCCTTATCAGACTTTATTCTCTCTGCCTCTCTTAATCCATTATACTCTTTTTTAATTGTTCAAGTTTCACAAATATACCTTTCAAAACCTATACTATAATGGTTATCATAATTCATGTCAATACATTTCTTCCACTGTTTTTATTGACAGGAATTTCATAAAAGCATACGATTTCGGCCTGCTGACATTTTAAAAATAATTTCGTAACGACACCTGTGTTTCTAACAGGCCGAAGATATCACATGAATATTTTTCTACATTACAAATTGAAAATAAACTTACTATCTGAAGGTGGTGAATATAAAACATATATTATACACTGACTTCAATCCAGACACAAGCTTCATCTATGGGCCCAGGCGCGTACGCAGGGAGGGGGGGTTAATCCCCCCTTTGGGTTTTTATGTGTGTATTTTGGAGGAAACCCCCCTCTTTGTTTTTGTTTTTGTTTTTGTTTTTTAAATATGTCCTCTGACTGGCCGAGTCGTTGCGAAAATGTTGGCCCGATTTAAAAATGTTAACCCCCCCCCCCCCTAAAAAAAAATCCTGCGCACGCTACTGTATGGGCCTGTTTAACTGCAATAAGATGATCTTCATCCCATATATTTGATTTTATTTCATGTTCATTTATTTTCCATATACTTCATCACAAATTAATTTTTGATATGTATGGTCATATAAAATCATAAATAGAAAAAAAGATCGCCATGCATAAGCACAGCTTTAGCTGACGTCCCCATCATTATAAGTGAAATGTTCATACCATTAATTTAACTAGGATCTCTCAAGCAAAGTACAAAAAGTACAAATTAAAAAAAGAAAACGCTGTAAGTTGCTAAGTAGATTATTAGTTTCTCAATTCCCCTTCATCTGTGGCTAAATTAAGAACAAATTCGTTTAAAGGGAATTAATCACATTCACATCTGTTATTGATACGTTTACATACTTTGTTTTCCCCTTCAGAAACTACTCCTGTGCCACCGGCCCCGTCGTCAGGCAGCAACGCAGGTAAACATTCTCGATGTTTATATTTAACCGTGCTTACTGGAGTCGGATGGGATATGTGTTAAGCCTATGGGAATTATATAAGTTAGGACTTTAACAAGTTTTTAACTAATCCATTACTATGCATTATGGTTTACCTGCCGAATGGAAAAACTAAAGGGGAAAACATATAAAAAGTAAAATCTGTGTGCAAATTTGAATTGCCATAGTGATGAGCTTGATGATTATAAAATAATGTTAGTATTCGTGCTGAATAGATGTTATTAAACATACAGTTTAGTGACTTATTTAGATAACGGTCAACCATCCGTGTTATTGTGTGCACACCTCAAATAAATGTTTTAAAAAGAGGGACCTCTGCGCACGGACCTACAGAAGAACAGCATTTGGCTGAAGTTGGTGCCGTGCACAAAATGAAAAAATAAACTGAAGTGAACTGAAGGGAGAGGAGAGGAAGGAGGGGGGGGGGGGGGGGGGGGTAAAAAGAGACGGAGATATAGCCAATTAAAAAGAAAGAAGAAATACACCACCATCTAAGGTTTATTTTGCTTTTCTCATTGCAGGTATCATTGTTGGAATCATCAGTGGAATTATACTGGTTGCCATAGTGATGACCTTGTTATTTATCTACTGTAGACAAAGGTATGAGATGAACCTCCATTACCTAGGATACTTAACCTAAGACACTTTATTATTTCTTCATTGCCATAATATGGCAACAAATAGAAAATTAAAAGAAAGCAGAACTATATTCTCCGCATTATCAAACATTTGAATAGAAAACGTCGGACTAAGCTCGTGACTTCTCGCTTACAATAATTCAAAGTCAGAGACTTTGTTACATCGCTGAAGAGTTCAGTCCCACAGTTTTTTCAATGTTCCTATCATGTATCATCATTTTGAAATGAAACTCCATCCTCTTGACCTAATATGTACTAAGATGATATAATGTCTCTCTAGAAAGTCCAAGTTTCACAGTTTTCGTTTAGTTAATTGACTACTTATGAATTTCATTTTTGCTGTATTTGTCTATATAGGGGTTAAAAAATTAGTACACGCAAAAGAGTCAAAATTGATACATAGAGGATGCATCGTGTTATGGAACTAGCTTTTAAATTTTTATGAAGTTGTGACGTACATGTTCCCTTTCCGGGGATGTTAAATCGTTGACTAGAAAATAAAGTGATAATGATAGATGGAGGAAAACAAATTCGTAAACAATTCTTTACAAGAACTTTACAAGAATAGGATTATGGTACTTCGTCGGGTTTCAGGAGGGCTTTTATAAAGATAACCGAAAGGTAAATGGGACATGCCAACTTAGAAATAGACAAATCGAAAAGGGAATATCTTATGAAAGACATAGTGAAAGCCTAATTAAAGGGGAAAAGTTATGATGTAGATGAATAGTTTGTAATTCATCAATGCGTTTGTTTTGTCTACAGGAGGTCGAAGTACGAACGCAAGCCGCTCCATGTTCGGTCATCCTGGAGCCCGCTCCACCTCCGATCCTCCTGGACTCCAACCCACCTACAGAAGGAGGCGATGAATGCTGAACCACACATGTATGAGACGACTAGCCAAGGAGGAGCTAGTCTTCACTCCACTCCCATGCACCGCGCCCGAACTCCTGGGAGCACCTCCGAGCACGAGTACGCTAGCTACCACGAGTTCCAGAATGATCTCCTTGTGGAGGATACAGCTCTCCTGCACTCACCAATCGACAAGGTGCCCAACGGTCGTCTAGCGCTAAAGGATGACGACGATTGTGGCAGTAACAGGAACAGCTCCATCATGGTGGTCAATGAGCTCTACAACCCGCAACAGAACCCTGATCGTAACATCTACGAGATCACCGAGGACGACTTTCGACGCTTACGCGAGTCGCAGCTGCTTGATAACAGAGAACAGCCCGCGTTGCCTAGGAGAACCTCACGTGATGCGATGATCAAACCGGAAGAACATATCTATGAACCGGAACCACTTAGTGAGTTGTCGTTCGCAATCGACAAGGAACATGTGTATAGCTCAGCAGACTACGCATACGCGGACGTTGACCCTAGGGATAGTGGGCTGGGGACTCTGAATATGAGCATGCGATTGCAGGGCTCTCTTCCGTGTTTTCATGAGACAATGGTGGAGAATGAGCTTTATGTTTCATCGGATAATGTAGATGAACAACCGACCGCAGAAGAACCTGACAGCACTGTCATGGTTGAGAATATTCTTTACCAGCCACAGACCTAGCCACAATGATATACTATGTATCATCATTACATTTGAAGAAACAATATCAGGACCTGATAGATCATCTACCGATTTTTATTGTGCCAAGGTTCTGTCTCATAATTATGCATAGTGCCATAAACATACATGAATCCATGTTTGAAAAAATACGATGTAATAAACGGCTGATAGCTGAAGCTGATAGCATGACATCGATATTTTGCATCTCTAACCAAAAGAGGTTTTTGAAAGAAGAAGACAGGAACTGTATAGTTATTAACGCGTGAATGAGGGCGCTCTTGATTTTCTACTATCAGAGCCATGTATACAGAAAGTTTGGCAAACTTGATTTCACTTTGTCATAACTTGTCCAACAAAGCAGTATTGTGCCCAACTCGAACTGAGTTTAATAGCCAAACTCGCCTTTTCAACATGACCAATGGCTTTGTCTACTGTTTAGAGCCTGTTCAGTTTCTTGACTTGTTGATGACTACTGGAGACCTATTATGTTGAGCGTCACAGAACATTTTTGCTGAAAGTAGTGCTCAATTAATTTGTAACGTCAAATGGCGTGATAACCATTTTGGGGGCGTCAGATAGTTTTGTAAAAATGTAGACAGTCGGGATTGATATCGATTTTTACGATCCTTACGGTGTCTCAGAGTTTATCAAAGCTATATGAAGTGCCTTATTTCTTTCTTTTGTGTATAGGTTTTCATTGTTTGTTGTCATATAAACATTCCCAAAACGCTATTTGTTACGTTGGTGCAAATGTATGCTCAATGATGTTATTATTATCTGTGGGGGAAGAAGACAAAATGACACTTCGATATGTTTTAGAGGGAACAAAGTCATTTTTAGTCAAATGCAAATACAATATTTATACACATATGAAATTATTGAGTTGAAATTGAGATTGATTGAACAAATATACTCCATTATTCTCTTGATTTTTATCCCACAACTTTTGATATAAATCAAGAGCGGTTTAAAAATAATAGTAATTTATAGCTTGTAATTATGGCGACTGTAGGTATTCATTTGTCGACAGGATGTAGATTTAAGTAAACTAGCTTGAAAAAAACAAACGAAAAGGTATATATTGTTCTCGATTATAATCTGGCGCAGTCTGGTCTTTCATTCCTTAAATGTACATATACATTATCTATGACCTCGTTGTCGATGCTCATTTTCCTTTTGAAAATTGTATCTTGAATGTAAATATTTTTTGATGCATAAAAACATAACAATGTATTTATATCTTTTTATACCCATTACTAACGCAATAGCACTATTGTAAATATTTTTATATACCGTCCTGGTTTTGCGCTGTTATTCAAAATGCCTTATTATTTTTTTCCATTGGAGTAAACCATCTACAGATACAAAATGATGTAAGAACTAAAGAACCTATCAAAAATATTCAATCTATAATATTTTGCCATAAATCAAACTTAAATTAACATTTTTTTAATCAAGATAGGCATGTTGATGATGTTTAAAATGCGTTTATGTAAAATATGGCTTACATAATTTTTTTGGAATAATGGAAAGTTTATAATTTAACGTTTTCTTTAGTTTTGTCAGATGGTGTTGAAAAAGGTTCATTTTCCCGCAATTTTCTCGAGTACTTTAAGGTGTCTTCCATTATTTCACGTAATGTTTGAGTAAGACTGCTTGTTGTAACCACAAACATATATACATTGTACAATCTCGGTTCGGTCCTCCTCTTACTCTGTCGCTGTTGTGTATTTGATTACAAAAAAACGTATTGCATATATTTTCATAATAATAAAGAAAAATTAAAAACGGAAATTGAATACACAAAGAATTGATTCTCATGTATTTTATATCCTTATTTGTATTGATTTGTTCTAATATTTCTAAAACAACTATTTCCACCACCTAAATCTTCCTCATAGCAACCATAAATGTCAATCCTCCCCCCCCCCCCCCCCCCCCCTCCCCCACACACCCTCTGTCTTCTTCTGATACTCCTCTATTTCACTTGCTTTCATTGCATTATTCAAAACGAATAGGCCAATACATTTTCTTAAGTTTTATAAAGACACAATCATTATTTAACTTAAATCTGTATACTGCCCTCTGTAAAGAAAACCGCACATGCAATCCTCAATCCTTGTTAACTCTATTCTTATGCCTTTACATCGTATTTGTAATACAGGTGTATTGCATTAATTATGTTGTAATTCTTGCTCACCTGTGCTTAATTAGGAAAGGAAGAAGACATTCAATCACTTTTATTACCAATTCTGTCCATCTTGGCCCGGTTTCATAAAACTTGTTTATTAATATACAATAATACACAGCAGTGAGGGCATTAGTAAGAATTACCCACACAAGGTACCTTCGAAACAGTCTAACACGTCCGAGGCGATAGCTGATAGTGTTTGGACTGTTCCAAAGACACCGAGTGTAGGTAATTTTACTAATACCTAAACAAAATGATGTGTATTATTTGTTTCATAAGACTATGTTTTATTTGTTTTATAACATGATTTTACTAATGACCGGTATTATCAAAATTACGTGTTAGGCAAAATAAATGCATGGTCACGTGTACGCTCTCAACCAATCACTTGATTAGGATCCACGTGATCATCTTTTAAATATCAATAACAAGGTTCAATAACTGTTATAAGCTACTGAAATCATGGCATTTGATTGGCTGAGAGCTTATTTGCCATAGTAATTTAGCATTCGTTAGTGAGAAAGGTTTTATGAAACAGGGCACTGGTATACCCAAGGAGCTCCATTTGGATGTTCAGGTGTACCTCTACACCGTGGTTCAATCTGTATAATGGATAACGCTTAAACGTGAGCACACAAAATACTACTACTACAACAACAACTACTACTTCTGCTACAACTACTACTTCTACTACTTCTACTACTGCTGCTACTACTTCTATTACTACTACTACTACTACTACTACTACTACTACTACTACTACTACTACTACTACTACTATTACTACTACCTTTACTACTACTACCACTACCTCTACTACTACTACTACTACTACTACTACTACTACTCCTACTCCTACTAATTCTACTATTTACATTACTGCTACTACAACTACTGGCACTAACCATATTAACACAAATTACTGCCATTAATATTGCTGCTGCTACTACTACTACTACTACTACTAATACTAATAGTACTACTACTGCAAATACTCATTTCAAAAGTCAACCGCAGTGGCGCAGCCTGAATCCACTCATTGAGGGGCACTTCAATTTTTTTCTGGGGGGCACCAAACTTGAAATGAAATTTTCGATTTGACATTGTTTCTGATTGTGGTGCGGAATGCTTTCCATCCGTCTTCTTTTATATTCCTTTTTCCCCGACTCGCTTACCATTTCTCTCTGCCTTGCCTTTTTTTTTCATCATTTCACTAGACGATTAGGGGGGTGTTCCCCTGTGCCCACTTTAGCTACTCCAGTTCTTCATCTTCTTCTTTTTCTCATACTTCTTTTTCTTCGTGTTGTTCTTGTTTTAGCTTGTTCTTGTTCTTGTTATTCATTTGCTTGTCCTTGTTCTTCCTTTTTCTAGTTCTTCTTCTTTTGCTTGTTGTTTTTTCCTCCTACTCCTTTCTCTACTTCTTTATTTTTCCTGCTAGTGTTCATGATGAATAGATTTGTGGCAGCCCGGTGGGGCCCTGGACCCTCAAAACAAATTTCCAAGACAAAATAGCTACCCCTCTTACATAGCGCAAATACGTACACCGTATATATTGAAACATGAATGATCTCTCATGGGCACATTTGTTGTATCATCCCGCATTGTTTCAGCTCTGCCCTCTAAAACTTGGCTTCCTCATTATTCTATCACTAGGCATTCTATTAAACATATCATCATATCAACAGAAAACTTCTAACAGTGACGTTGAAATAAAACGCGTGGGACTGTGATGATAATTCAATTTATTCTACGTCCGATTTTATATCGCAGACAGTCTCGGATATGACGTATTATTCTGGTTGAGTTTTATAGGGGCTCCCCTAAGGTGTTATCACTTCCTGAGTATCATGATCATCAATACAGATGTATCTCATCACAGATTTATGAGCCGGGGCGGATCCAGAATTTTTCAAAAGAGGGGGCTCATTATTCCCAAAATTTGCTGACAAGCTAAATACACAAACAAACAAACAAACAAGCAAACAAAGAAACAAAAAAGTCATTACTTAAAGAAAAGGGCGTGGTGCGCTTGTCGGGACTTGTGAACTATAGGTACGCCTGTGGGGAGGGGGTTCAAAGGGAAATGGGGAGACAAATGTTATCACCTCCGACGGGGAGGGGGCCACGTTTTGTTACTCAACAGGGCGGAGGCACGTTCCGGCTGTGCTCCACTCCTTACCCCCCCCCCCACCCTCCCCTGACCAGCGGGTGAACAATGCTTATATGTCAATGATCAAAATCGTATTGTATGTTTGGTACAATCAAGATTCCAGATTATTTTATTGGTCCATGCATGCAAACATTACATAGAGTAAGGAGTAAGGATAGCTTTTATGAACTCCTTAGTACGACTGAGATGAAGATTAAGTCATACCTTATCGTTCTGGATAACAATTAAAGTTGCTATAGCAATGGTTTATGTTTCTACGTAAGGACCCTTCCCTTTTCACATATCAACTCAGTCATTTGTTGGGGAAGAAATATTATAAGAATTTTGCTTATAACAACAACGAATACAGACATACCACAGTTTCCCGTCTTGCATTCATCATCACCCGAATAAAAAGAAAAGATAAAAATCGGGTAACATAAATGGAAGCTTAATGAACAGAGTACACAAACAAAATAATTATTTCAAAAAAATGCATTTCCAGAAATATATTAAAAAGAATATTCAATGTACGTATTCCCAAAGCAGTCTCTAGCTATATTCTGTCTAGACCGCTACATCATCAACGCATTAATTTGTTGTTTTCTGTTGTTTGTTTAGATGTTGGACCTTAAACATATCTTCTATGTTGACGTATACATGGAGATATCATCACATCAAAAAAGATATCAACTCTGTATATCTGTTTGCAGTTATATACCACTCAGGCAGCCACAAATTCAACTCTTTTAATCACATTATTCACACATAAGCTAAGGCAACTTTGCTAGACTTTCTTTGTGTAATGATCACATTAGCGAAGCAAATCTCAAGCGATTATAACGAATAACGTAGTTGCGATCACGATGTTATCACATTGGTATGAATCACGTTTAATATAATCAACCCACCCACGTACAAACTCAACCAGACATGCCTTTCACCCAAAATAGACACATTTCTTCAGGGAAAACCTCAAACTTGGAGTTGCCAAAATAGAGTGATCGTTACAGGGTCAAGAGTAGATTATGGAATTCCTTGTGAGATTTTGTTTCTGTAATATCTTAGAAATCATGAGTCTGGCTTTATAGGGGGTGCTGTTAAAATATTTGGAGGGGGGGGGGGGGGGGGGGGGGGGTCGCATGTAATTATGATGTCAGGTTCCCTTGATTTATTTTAATTCGTTTCTTTGTTCTTACCATGCATTACATTTCTACGCCTCTATTTTTCTTCTATTATCTCTCTCTCTCTCTCCCTCTCTCTCTCACCCTCCATCGATCTGTCTGTCTGTCTGTCTGTATGTTTGTATGTCTGTCTGTCCGTATTGTCTTTATGTCTGTCTGTCTCTCTCTCTCTTTGTCTCTCTCTCTGTCCCCTCGTTTTATCGATGGATCCGCCTCCCCTTCTCATCTCTTTGGATGCACTTCTCCCTCCCCACTCTCTGTCTTTCGCAGTCTCTCTCTCTCTCTCTCCCTTTCTTTCTCTCTCTCTCTCTCTCTCTCTCTCTCTCTCTCTCTCTCTCCCTCTCTCTCCCCTCTCTCTCTCCATCTGCCTGTTTTCGCATCCATCTCTCTGCATATTCCCCCTCTCCCTCTCTTTCTCTCTCTCTCTCTCCCCCCCCCCCTCTCTCCCCCCCTCTCTCTCTCTCTCTCTCTCTCTCTCTCTCTCTCCGTCCCTCCTTGTAATGCCACCATTCTCAGACTGTCCCAAGACTAGCCTAATCAGGCCAATTTTTAATTCACGGAATTTCAGTCGATGACAGATTTGTATTTCTAAATCTCAATCTGATATGGGTGTCGCTGATGTGTAGGTATTATGAGATTACTGCCTTCTTCCTTCGACATGTCGGATTATATGTTAGTAAGCTGTCATTAGGCTTACACTTTACGATTCCAAACATGAATATCACGTTATTTTCGTTTTGATAAAATGGCTTTGCATGAGTTATGGTCGAATGTAAAGAAAGAACAACAACGACTACTTCTTCATTAAACAAAGTAATATATGGAAAATTCAAATAAACAGCTACAATCGACTTACAAACAACCCATTCCGTATCAGTTAAGTCGTTGCATGGTTTATTTATTTCGTTCAGTATGGTAAGAAAGCGCAAAAATCATCGCTGAAAGCAATAAAGAAAGCGTTTTGTAAAGGAAACGAGTCTTTATTTTCAATGTTTTGTTTTTTTACGGAAAACGAAAAATGAAGAAGATACGAAAGAGAAGAAGAAGCAGAAGAAAAGAAGAAAAAGAAGGAGAAAAGGAAGACGAAGAAGAAGATGAAGAAGAAGAAGAAGAAAAAGAAAAAAGAAAAAGAAAAAGAAAAAGAAAAAGAAAAAGAAAAAGAAAAAGAAAAGAAAAAGAAAAAGAAAAAGAAAAAGAAAAAGAAAAAGAAAAAGAAAAAAAAAAAAAAAGAAAAAAAAAAAAAAAAAAGAATAAAGGTAGATAATAGAAA